TGTGTATTTCTGAAAACAAGCGGTACAGTCAATGCCCTACTGAGGGGAGAATTCATTTATTGAATATCTATCTAAGAGTTCTGTTCTAGACACTGGTGTTGCAAAACTGGGTAAAGCAATGCCTGCTTTCAGAACTCAGTCTTAATGGGGGAAGAGCTTTATACAGTAAAGTGAGACCAAGTTCTGTGGTATCATTATGGAAACCAAAGGGTAATTGATTTTTGACTTGGGCGGCAGTGGCCGTGAAGAGGGGAGTTCGGCTTTTACAGGTGAGTAGGATTTTGGAAGGGAGTGCAAGAGCTTCAGGCAGAGAAAGCTGCATTCAAAAAAGACATTAAAGCTTGAGGAAACCTGGTTTGCTTCGGAGTAGACAAATTATGATGAGATTTGAGAAGCCTAGGATATAGGCTGGTGAAGGAGATTTTCCAAGAATGGGAAATAGGTGGTAGTAGTGAGCATGAAGTAGGTGATAATGAGTGACTGGCCTGAATGGTGATTATTCTGATAAAAGTTGGGGTGTGGCCAGGCTAGGAGATGGGTTTCAATGATAGGAGAGTGAACTTGTAGGCTGTGGGGAGCCACTGTGTTACTCAGGTAAATTGGGAAAATGTTTTTGCTATCCATAACTGGGAGTGGTTTTCTACAATGGAAGACTTTAGGAAATATGTGTGTAGTTTTGGTTATCCCAGTGGGGGTGGAGTGGGGGGGGTGCTGAGCTGGCAGTTACTGCCAGGGGTACAGGGATGCCAAATGTTTAGACAGTGTGATGTTTAGACAGTGTGCCAGAACAAAAAATTATCCCACCTCAAATTCCAGCAGTTGCTCTCATTGAGAACCGTACTGGAGGCTGATAGGAGTCGGCTGCATAAAAATGTTGCATGAAGACCTGGCTTAGGAAGTGGAGCAAGAAGTGGATTAGAGACACCCAGGAAAGGAGAACTTACTGGGGACTAGCATAACAGTACCATTAATAGAAGCTGTTCAAGGTGAGATGCTAGTTGAATTACTATAAACATAATCAGAAGATAATTATCATGGTAGATGCTTGATGTAAATAAATTTGTGTTAAGTCTTTATTATGGGAACACAAACATAGAAAAGTTGAATAGTACTGCATAAACCCAACCCCAACAGTGAGGAACTTTGGGCCAATCTTATTTCATATTACCCCACCTTGGACTATTTTGAAACAGATACAGGCATATCATTTCATCTATAAATATTTATGTATCTCTAGAAGATAGACTCTTAGACATGGGTGAGTGTTTTGATAAAATCTACTTGGCTTGTGCATGTTGACACTATTTTCTTAGAGGGGAAAGAGCAAGGGAAAAAATGGGTTTGCACTTCAAAAACAAAACTGTCTACTGTGTTTGTGATTTATTCTCTAAAAAAGTTATTCTTAAAAAATTAAAAAGGTAATGAGTTTGGCCTATTCTTTTAGCTTTTCCTCTTAAGTCCTTATTCCCAAATGTTTATTGAGCTTTTCTACATGCCAGGTTGTGGCTTCTCC